ATTATGACCAATCATCATCTATAAGTATCCATGACAGGATGGAATGAGTTTATATGGATCTGAGCAGTGCAGATGATGGGCCACAGCAGATGCTCTCAGCATTCCACCAGAATCCAGCCTGGCCTCTTTCAGCTTCTGGGCAATTTTGTGCCTGAAGTCCTGAAACTTTGATTCTCTCTTTGGAGAAATGCCCTCGGCTTCTTAGACAGTTATACCTGCATGTGATGGAGTCAAAATGCCTGGAAGGTACCCTCTCTCAAGGAGCCCTTGAGCTAGTGAATGGTTGGTATGGAAAGATGAATGCCTCAGGTGGGAACAGCTTTCAGTTCATTTTATACTGTAGGGTCTCCTTGCAGGATCAGGGGAAATTTTCTTGACTTCCTCTTTTTCCCTGTCCTACTTCTCCCACTCCTCTGATAGCTGCTCCTAAGTTTCTAAGGTTTCTCCATAGTAAAATATTGCAAAAAAAAAAAAATCTCATTTTAGAATCTATTTCTTGGCAATCTGACCTAAGACAGATTCCTATTGCACACTGACATGAAAGTTTAAGTAGGATATTTGGGTCTGGAATTCACAGCAGACATCTGGGCAAGAAGTAGCTATTTGAGAGTTGTTGGCATATTGATTCTATATAGTCACGAGATTAGATGAGATGACCTAAGGAGTCAATGTATATAAAGGAAAAGCTTCAGGATATAAGGTTTCAGGTTTTCTTTATCTTCCACCATTCTTTTTACCAATTCAACTAAATTTATACTCATTTACTTAGGTTTGGTCTCAGGACAGACCTTGACTCAGGCTCTATGACAGTTCTCAAATTAGTTTACCTCATTTCCAGTTGTTTCCTAAGTATACATCCCATTTTATCTATCAAACTTACCCACTAAATGTATGTAGTCTGAGGGCATGACTGATTTATAGGCCCCCTGTATAAACAAACCAAAATGGATATCTAAATAAGTCAGAACATTAAACACCTGTTCAGAGAGGCAAATGTATGGCTCAGGTTCAGCTGAAAGAATTCCCAATACATTTTCCATTTAGGAAACACTTTCATCTTAACCTTGGTGGAAATACATTGAAATTTTAGAAAGGCAAATCTGGCAAAATATGGAGAGATAAAGATTTACAAAAGCAAAATCAAAGCATGTATTTGATTAAAAGAAAAGATCTATTTAAAATGCCATGACTTATATAATGACTTGTACACAATATATCCATAAAAAATATTTGTTGAATAAATTGTATTGACCCTGCCGTGGATCTTCATTTACTGCAGAATAAACTAGGGTCCATGAACAAGAGAGGAGGAAGCCTTAGGGATATTATTTTATACACCACATAACCATCTTTACCTAACATTCTCTATGGTATTTCTAGGAAAAGACCAACAGAACAATTTCAATGAACATTTTTCAAGTAAATGAAGTCTAGAGAATATAACAGGAAGTGATAGAAACTAACTGAAATATTTTGTTAATGTGGTGGCATTTGAGTTTCTCTTCATAAGTAGATTAGATTTTGTGAGCTGCTTCCCACATAGACCAAAAAGCCTCCAAGTGTTTTATTTAAAAGAAAATTCTAGATGTTGATTTGAAATTGAAAGTACAAGGCTTTCTTTCCTTTTGACAGTTTGCTTTTGAATGGTTTTTCTTGTGAAATATGTAATATGCTGTTGCTAGTTGAATATAATGATTCCTCACCCTAGAAGAAATAAAAGAAAGGCCAAATTTGGCTAATTTCACATCTTGAGGAACCTATTTGGGCGCCGTGGGTGTGTTAAAAAGCAGCAACCAGCATTAATATCAAAAGCAGCTTTTCAAAAAAACAAACAAAAAAAGTAAGTGTGGATAAAGGAATGCCGCTTTGTTCACACTGAAGATATTTTGACAGTCTCACATACATTGTTTTAAACCTATATAGCTTCTCTGTAGCTTTTGACTCAACTTTAACATATCTAATGCACACAAATCCTATTAGAATAAGAAAAAATAAAGTCACAGGTCTGTCTTATGTGTCCTAAAACAAACTAGAAAGATAAACTAAGAAAAAATTCTGGAATGGCCAGAAAACTGGAAATATAACATGCAAGGTATAATTACAATTAAATAACACAGGATAAAAAGATTCAGAGATAAAGACCACGAGAACATTTTTAATGTTCATTAGCAATTCGATATTTGTTATTTATCCCATCCTTGGATATTTCATATTCACAACTGCGGGATCATGTTTATACAATCCTGAGGAGCAAAAATCATAATGTTCAGTTTCATACATATTTACTAAAAAAAGCCTTGAGGATCTTGATGGGTTCTAAATCCATCCCTGTGTTATCAAGACAGCTAACACTTGCATGTTGTGACTAAAGAGAGTATATCTTATTATTCAAAGTTCCATCTCAAAGGCCCCTAAAATGAGTTATGTATCTTTCTCTTCATAATCCATGTTTTCCAGCTTCCACTTTTTGTGCTTTATATCCTTTTAAACAAATCAAGTCACACCCATTCTTCGAGGCTCTGTTTATATAACATTCTTCTAAGAAACCATCTCTGGATACATCCTGTCTTCACCAAAGGGAAGTGATCATTCTCTCAACTCCCATAGCCTTCTGTCTACACTTTTTGGCTAATGTGGAAGGGAATCGTTCCCATGGCCACACCCAGTTTCAGTGATTTTTCTAGGAAGTTCATAGGACTAAGCTTATGGTCATAATCACAGCTACGATTTATTACAGTGAAAGGTTACAAAGCAAAATCAGGAAAAGGAAAAGCCACATGGGATGAAGTCCAGAGGACTTAAAGAGACAAAGTATCCTGGTTCTGCTTTGATTTTTTTTTCTCCACCACTTTAAAAGTTAAGGATTCAAACATTGCTAGATTTTACCATTTCACACTCGGTAGGTTACATGGTCCTAATGAAAATTTTGTCACTTAATAATTCATGAAAAAGTAGTGAGGACTCAACGTGTTTAGCACTTGTGACTGTCATTCTGAGAATGAATAAAAGGAAAGTCATATTGGCTTAAAAAATAAACATGCACACAGCAATCTTTTTATCTCTATGGATGTCTGATAGTTGACTTTTTTGCTATTGTGCAACTAGATTATTTAAAAAGAGAGCTTTTCATTTCCCTCTGAATATAATGCATTTTTGTCATTAATTGTCTCCCACACAGGGATGCAATTAATACATATCAGAGCCTGGAAGAACTCACAGAAGGGAAACTACACTCCTGACTTCTTTATTTCTCAAAGAAGTTAAAAGGCTAAAAGTTATTAACAGTCTGCCTTATGCCAAACTCAAACATCAGCTTGGAAATGCAATATCACTGTACCCCTGGATCACGAGACAGTATCCGGCATGACAAAGGAGTTGTGGGTATGTTTGCAAGTATCCAGGTTGACATTAACATTCAAGTCTAGAAAGACGACAATGTTCTTCAGTTGCAGGCAAGGTTCTTCATGACACGACTAAGATGACACACATTTTCAAGGAATTGTTTTAATTTATACCTACTTATGGAAGCTTCCAAGGGACTGATAATATCACCCTCGTGTCACAGTGGAGGCAACTCTATCTCAGGGATGTTAAGTGATGGTCTCACGGTCACATAAATAGTGACAGTACAGCAACGGACACTCAGATCCTCCTTCTCTAGAATTAGTCCTAGACCACACTGGCTCTCGAATATCCACAAAAGCACTTGGATTTGAATGTAATTATAAATGTTCAGTCCCATGTGCTGAGATGTGATTGTCTATGGTTCTCTTGCATCTCTCTCTGCACGTCTTGTTAGCAGATTCGTTGCCTGCTTTAGCTCTGGACTGTCTTTTTAAAGATACTTTTATAAGGCATAGCATTGTAACACAGAGATGTTGTCTCACAGAGCAAGGGACAGGCATACTTCCTATCTGCTGAAAATAGGAGAGTTTCCTGTGTAGGGTTGCACTCCTATAACCAATCCACTGTGTTTGGAGGAGTCACCCGGCCATCTTGGCATCGTCTCCCAAGAACCGGCCTCAGGAACCAGCTAAAGAAGATGCTGATGCTCTGGCTATTGCTATTTTTCCATGAGTAATGGAGTTCTTTGTTTCTGAAAACAAAACAAAACACTTCCCTAACCTTGAAGTGGGTCTGTGTTCTACAGTGTCTGTAGTTGCCAACTATTTGGGGGGTTCTCTTGAAGGAAAATAATATAAAGTTACAAAATATATAAAATTAAGCTCAGGGCTGTGGAGGGTGCTGGCAAGTGAGTGGCCCCACAGAACAAGTTCCAGTCATGGGAAATCCATCTTTGTCTGAATTACATTTTTGGAAGTCCATAGTTTTCTGATTTGACAAATGGCTCTAAGTGATTTCTCATTCCCTGAACACAAAGTCTGTACATTGCATTGTGTCTCATTTTAGAGAATAGCTTTTGATTTTTGATTTCCAGGCACTATAAAAATCTAGAGTTATCTCTGCCATGCCATAATCTTTTTGACACTCTGGTGTTTTGCTTAAATTTATAGACGGTCTAGGGAGTAGTTTGTTTTCTTCATCCATTGACTCTATAAAACAAATATGACTAAACTAATGTCTTAAGTTGTTTCTAAAACTGGTCCTGGTTAATATGAGCATAGATGAGTCCAAACTTGTAGAAAAACTGAATTTATGGAAATTGTACCATGAGTGTTGATACAGTTTCAAGTTGGGAATGTGACAGCTCCATGATGTTTGAAGTAAGAGAGAAAAAAAAAAACATACTTTGCATGACATTCTAAAAGTAACAAATTATCTTTTGCATATAGCGCTGAAAAGGAAAAATGACGACTTATTTTGTTGTGTGAAATTGTGTCCTCTTATCACAGCAAAAGCTCAAAATAGTTAAAACTATTAACAAGCCATAATTGTGTACTGCTCACAGATAACAATTATAGGTTAAACATTATAAAATATTTACTTGAACTCATAAGATATGGAAATCAATAAACAATTAAGTAATACAGTTTACCTACTTTTGAAATATTACTTGATCGACTTGCCGATCGCCCCGGGGATTTGTCATTCTGAAAAATAAAATTAGAGACACTGATTAAGAATATAAGAACAGTCTTTACTGTGGAGAAAAGAAAGCACAGCACGGGTCAACATCTAAATGCTAGCATATTGTTCCGATTGATAGATATACAAACTGCTTACACAGAATGGCATTTGTCTTACCAAATTTTATTTCTCTAGTACATATCATTGTCCTTGTGAAAATGTTTCAATTAGCATCAGTGTATATTTATCAGTCTAGGAGTATTTATTACCAGGAAATGCTTACTTCTCTAGAAAAATATATGTGGTTCTTTTGAAATAAATTAACAAATGAACATATAGCCCATTATTTCCTCTATCACTTTTGCTACCAGGAAATTCTAAGTAAATTCTGTTTCTAGTTTCGGTAACTATTGCATACCAGGTACATGGCACATACGTCTAACTCCTGCTCCTTTAAAATATATATTGTCTTTTCTGTTAATTTGCTTTTTAAAATATAAACATTCAGAAGACACTTTTAAATTTAAAACACTCAACTGTTTAAAGATATTCAAAAATTATTTTAAAATTTAGAACTTCAAAATATGTTAAAAAAATTTATTGCCTTAGTTCTTGACTCTTAAAGGATTTCCAGTGTAGTAGAAAAGAAGCATGAGGAAACTTTTGAATAGATACATTTTTTAAAAAGCGTTATAATTTTAAGATAGAGAGAGACGTCAAAGAGTGGAACCCCCTCTTTTGAAGCCCAAAGGCCTTCTTTTCCCAGCAATGGCAGCCCCATGCCCAAGCCAGGGCCAGCCTGAGGCCTTCTGTCTCATCCCATCTGGTTGTTTTTTTCTACTCCACCAGTTATCTGTTAGTGGATAACTGACCGACACATCAAAATGTATGTGTATCATGCACTTTACATGTACCAAGAGATCACAATACACTTTTCTTCTGTAGAGAAAATGTTGGAAGAACTGTTCCAGAAACCAAAAGTTTGTGAAGACCCTGAATTAATACTTTAGGATTCATTTTTTTTAAAGCTGATAGTTCATTTATTCTTACTGATAAATAATATTTCTTTTTTTTTTAAATTAACATATAATGTATTATTTGTTTCAGGGGTACCCTAAAGATACAAACATAGTGGTCTGAAGGGGCATGTGCAGCTGAATATTTATAGCAGCAATGTCCACAATAGCCAAACTACAGAAAGAGCCCAGATGTCCCTCAACAGATGAATGGATAAAGAAGATGTGGTATATAAACACTTTAGGATTCTTTTTAAAAACTTTCCTGAGCATCTGGACTCGGTGCCAAAGTGGACCTGTGTAGACAACCATGGAGCATCTTGACATAGGTCATTTTTGAGAGCTAAGCTGTTCTAACAACCTGCGGGTCTGAAACTGCCCCATGATGACCGCTCCAGACTGTGCCAGAAACACAGTGATGACAGGAGGTGGCAAACGTTATTGTGGAGAAACAGGAGCTGCATTTACTGCCGGCTGTCACCATGTCATGCACAGGCTTGCAATATTCCAGCTGAAGAGTATTTTTTCCTTTACGTGCAACATCCATCTCACACAACCACTGATGTCACTGTGCAGCGTGGTATTACAGACCAAGATGAGTCACAACGATGCGATTAGTTACACCTCATAACAGGCCCATGATCCCGCTGGAGATTAATGTCTATGCTGCCAGCAGACATTTTTCCTTGATTAGCTTCCTCTGGTGATGGAGAGAGGTACTTTTCTCCTGACATCTCAACTCCTCTTCTGGAGACTAGAAAACAAAACCAATCCATCTTCCCTTCTGAGTGAAATTTGGGATTTTGACACACTATTGTGTGAACAGAGGTAAATAAGTCACATAATATAACAGACTGGGGGGAATTTTGTTATAGTGGTTGTTTTGTTATGTCTTCTGTATTTCCATGGTATTCGAAAACACAGTTAAGTTACTAGAACTGAAAGGTGTTTCAGCAAGGACCCAGGAGCACTATAGAAATTTAATATGGCATCGGATTACTTAATTTTTCAAACCAAATAGCACTTTGTTTTGAGATAAAAACAAGGAGGATCAGGTTCCCTCCATAACTGTGAATGAGTTCGACATGAAGTTATAGTAAGCAGCTATTTCCAATGCTCTTCACCAGCAACACCCACGCTAAGGGGGAGGAAGCATTTTCTTGACTGTGTAGTACTTCAAGATATCTTTAAACCTGAAATCCACTGCTTCTATTTTCTCCTACTAAAAGACTAGACACCGCAAGAAAGAAAGGAGCTTAGGTGAAGGTTACATTTTTTTTTTTTTTTTTTTGCCCTGGCTAAGTTCACTTTTGTTTCTATTCCAGTTACCGTATGGGACAGAGGGTGCACCCCACTGCTGTGTTGGCAGCATCGGGGAGGGAAAGCCTGACTCACAGCTTGCCCCATGGTAATGCACTGGCTCTGGCAAGAGTGTACTGTTTGACAACCCAGAAGATTCCTCACTGTTGCCTCACCGTAACATGGAGGAGAAAATATCTTGGAGACTGTTGTTAGACTCAAATGAGCTGTGCATGAACACATTTTATAGTGTACAAAGTTATAATATTTCCATTACCATTCACAGATAGACGAAACACCCAAAAATCTCCCTCAAAATCACAATAATCATCACAGGTTACGAGACTCATAATTTAAACATAAACAGCCTAGTTTCTCTGTCCCGCAATTCTGCTTCAATTGTGGATTAGATTATGAAATATAAAATTTAAGAATGAAAAATCAAACTTTTCTCTATCCAAGGGGATTAAGGAAGTTTGCTCTGCCCTGCTTTTGAAGCAAAGCACCAGAAACACTTCTACTCTTGGAAAACTTCCAAGGCAATCTGTCTAATTTGCTGCTAATTAATCGGGTGGCTTGTCCCATTACTATTGCAATTACATATTCTTCTTTGTAGATTAGTCAAATATGGTTGTCATACCTCGTTATGATCAGCTTAAATTCTTTACCTTACATTGAATAGAAGTTGTCTTAGAATCCAACATAAGTTAGTGGTACCCAAGCTGTAGTGTCCTTTTAGGTCACTGATGGTTGGAACCCACAAGAGTTTCAGACAGGTCTGCATGAAAAGCATGGGATCATCAAGCAGATTGACTGATGCAGACTGATGTTAGCAGATTCATTTTAGCAGATCATTCACAGTATGCAGAGGGACAGACTTCTAATTTTATAAGTGCTTTTTAGAATTTTTAAGAGGTTTCTGATTTTTATTTGATAGAAATATATCTGATACTGTTAGCTTTGTTTTGAGATTATTATTCATATAATAACAATTGTTTTTAGAATTTGATCTTAGAAAACATGGTTGGGTTTTTATTACCAGAAAGGAAAAATGATTACCAAATGAGAACATCATTACTAAATTGGTTTAACATATTTTTAATGTTATAATCCAAGGAAAATAACATAGCTCCTTTAAAAGACAATACTCTGTGTTAAAGAATAAGCAATATGGCTGGTCATGTATGTATCTATACATGACTACTCTGTATATTAGACCATTGATCAGAAGAGGGCAGTAAGGAAACTTGAAGGAGGTTTCTTATGGAACTGAAGGAAAATAAATATTCCTGAGTGAAGAAACCAGAGTAATATCCACACATTTCACTGATACAATGCTATTCTCTATTTATTTTCCTTGGTCCCCCTCACCTCCACCCCTTACTCCTGTCCAGGCTAAAAGTCAAGAATATTTGAAAGAAGAAAAAGAAATGAGGCAATTTTGAAGGTCATCTGAAGAAATTCTACGTAGAAAATGGGACTATTTTTGCTAAGGTAATTAAATGTGTAATAGAAGAAAAGCCTTTGAAAACAATGCGGCTTATAAACAAACAAAATGCAGAGAAGTTAAATACTGCAATGAAAACTTGATTAATAGAGACATATAAAAAACTCATGTCCACTAAATGAAAAATGTTGTTTATAATGTCTATGAAACATTTAAAATTGATTTACCCTCAAATAATACCTTAACAAAAAACTTCAATAAGGATTTAATAGGGCACTTCTTTTGATATTGAGACAATAAAATTAGAAATAAAAACATGAAATGTGACTAATAAATCTTAATCACTACTAATTAACATACTTTTAGATAATGCTTGGTTCAATGAAATGAAAACTCTCTGAAAAATTATAGCCAGAAAGTCTTGAAAATGTTATGGTAAGACCTGTAAGGAACACAACAAAAGCTATATCCAGAAAAAAATTTATAACCGTAAATGCTTTCATTATTAAAGAAAACAGTAATGAAACCCAATAAAAAATGTAGTAAAAAATAATAAATTATAAAAGCTAAACTCATTAAAGAGATATAAATAAGAAGAATAAAGAAATATTTTCTTATAACAGGTCCTTGAAGATAATTGCAAAATAGATCAATTTCTAGTAAGACTTTTTAAGGAAAAGAAAAAACAGAAATAGATGAGAAAGGATAAATAACCAAAGACACAGAAAAAAATTAGAAAAATCATAAAAAGTGTTACATATAATACTGTTGAAACAAATCTGAAAACCTAGAAAAAAATGAATCCTATTCTAGCAAACTAGAAGTTGTCAGAATTTATTCAAGAAGAGGAAAACTTGAATAGATACAGTAATTAACAAAGAGGAGATTAGATAGATAGATAAATAGAAGTCTATATGCCCTAGAAAGGATAAGGGCATGATGATTTCACAAGTGAGTTTTACCTTACTTTTAAAGAACACATAATTCAATTTTCTTTACATTATTCTTGACTATAGAAACAAAGTTCCCTAATTCACATTATTAATCTTGCAGAAAGGAAACTTCATATGTGTTAAGACAGTATCCAAAAAGAAAGAAAGAGGGAAAAGAAAATTATGCTTTAATCTTATTTGGGACCACAGATGCAAAATTCCTTTAAACATATTAGCATATATCTAAATAGTAGCAAATAACTTTGACACACTAGCAGTGTATCTAAAAAATGCACAAGGAATAGAATAAATAGGATTTATTCGAGATA